GGAATCAAAACAGGTTATTGTTAATCTAAGATATCGAAATAGATCTCAATTTACCAAAGGCAATAATAATAATATAGGATTACATTGTTAGGCCACTAACGAGAAATGGTAGCTGCAGATGAAGCTAGGTTAGTTGGGCCATCTTGATGAATTCATCAAAAATTAACCAAGTTGATTTCCTGAGAGGACCGCGAGGAGGTCAATCTAATAGGATAAATTGTTAGCAATGGAGTTAATGTGATGGTTTAATTTTGTTAAACTTTTATCTAGTACTATTATGTATAAATTGTTTAAGACCAACCAGGACAAAAAGTGACCAATATAAAATATCCCTGTGTGAAATATATAACATGAGAATGCCAAATTTAATTATGATAAAAAATAAATTTATTTTCATATTTAAAATAATAGTCGGTAAAGATATTTTAACAATTATATTAAAACATTAAATTACAGTATTTAATTTATTTATTGTATTTAGATTACATTAAATTGCTGTGTGGTCCCGGCAAAGAATGGACCACCTTTTCTTTTTCCCCGTAAGAGTTGACTAAAAGCACTTAATCAGGAGGGATGGGCAGCAGTGTCTCTTTTAAAACATCATTAAAGCCTAACTGCAATTGCCAATTCATCTGCTAAATGTGACAACTATTGACAAAACTCCCCTTACGGGGGAAGCCCATGTTCAACAGTGGACAGTCATTGACTGATATGGTATCAAATTACTGATTAATTTTAGTTTATTGTCTTTGTCTAAAAGTTTAAATAATATAACAGTTTTAGCTTAATTTTTAACAAATCTTCAATTAAAGCTTATGAAACTTTTTAAAACTCTGAACAGCAAAATATCTCAATTATATATTTAATAATTAACTAGTCATTACCCACAACTATGTCTACATGATCAAAATAAAAAGTAACTTATGTCTTTCTTCATTTCATGTAGTAAGTATTACGTGTGATTGTTTAATCCGATAATTTATAATATTATTAAGGACATAATATATTTCATTATTTTATAAAAAATACTAAACGTTTAAAGATTTCCACAAGATAACACATATTATAATAAAAAATACTAACTCTCCTAGCTTGTATCTAATATTTTTATGGATATTGATAGAATTACTGAAATATAAAACCCCACGCTAGAGAATCCACACTCGATGTAATGGGAGGAAGGTCATTACCCGTTTTTTTGTTTATTTTCCACGGAGTAATGATATATTATTTACGTGGCGCATTCTTCGCATGACATCCCAGGAATCTTAGGAGTCATCATCATTAAATGAGTTCCGTGGTGAGTGGCGGGTGTGTTTCAATTAGATTTTTTTGTCGTACCATCATGGGTGCGCACGATTGCTCTTGTATTTATTTGCGCGGAATGAATGATGCGAATAAAATTGGTTTCATTCATATCTTTTGTTGCAATAATTAGTTATACAATGTGTTGCAAACTCTTTTTATGTTATACGCCTTACACGTGTAACATTTGAAAAATCTCTATTTGACATAGTCTGTATCTCTATAGTCATAGTCGATAATTATAATTCAGATAAAGTGTACATTTTTTAACCCTTCTTTGCATAATGGTGGAAATTTCCGTCATTATATTAAATGCCTAAAAATTATATAAATGAACAAGTTCACTTTAAGTTGATCGTGTCCATTTTTCATATCCATTGCAGAAAAAAAAACATACCTGTCAAATTAATTTTTTTTTTACCATTTTTTCTTTAATTTTGAACATAAATTATATCTCTCCTTGATTTATTTCATCAATAAAAAAAATCATGCAAAGAAGGAGTAAATTAAAATAAAAAAAGAATGTTCTACTAATAAAATAGTTCGAATGAAGTTTTTATTAATTATTTAATTGTTTTGTCTATGTATTGATTTTTTGTCTCTTGGCTTTTTTCCTATGATAATCTATTTATGTTCATCATCATAATGTCAGCCATTAACCGTCCACTGTTAAACATAGGCCTCTCCCTATTGGGGATTCTACCATGCTTGGTATGTGGGTAAGCAATCGCAGTTAGGCTTTGGTAATGTTTTAAGAGTGAGGCTGCTGCCTATTCCTCGATCATTAAAGTCCTTTAGTCGTTCTTACGACACTCGCGAGAAAGAAGAGGAATCTATATTAAATTATCAGTATTCATTAGGTTTCTAAATTGTCTTTAAAGTAAAATATGAATAGAAATAAATTTAATAGTCTGTGTAAGATTTGAAAAACTAATGTATCTAAATTATTTAAAGATTTAATGGCTTTACAATAACTTGTTTCATATATGGTGATTTCAACGTACAGGTGGAAATAAAAAAAATATACCTATAGATGAATTTACAACCTGTTCATTTTTCAAAATATTACTTTGACATCAGCAAATCGAAAGATATTTGAGTTAGAATACTCACATTAATAAAAAATTCCGTAAATAGCTACTTCCTATTCCGATCAATGACCTCTATTCATTTCCTCAAAAGCTCATCTGTAAATCATGCGTCTCAAATTATCCACTTCTATCAATACAACATTGATTTTCTAATCAATGCCTTGATAATCGTTTCCTCATTAGATATTGAAAAAGAAATATGAAAATAATTACTACAGTGTTGAAGCTCATTTGTTTATTTATTTTTATTACTAATTTATACGGAATAGTCGTGAGTTATTCACTAACATAATCATCATTCATCATTTTAGCCGTTGACTGCTAAACATAAGAAGAGGAGTTTTGCTAGTATTTGCCATGCTTGACAGGCGGGTTGGCAACTACAGTTAAGCTTATAGAGGTTTTTTAAGAGACTGCTGCCTATCCCTCTACCTTTAAGTTCTCTTAATCGCCACTTACGACACCCACAGGAAAGGTAAGGGCGGCCTATTGGTATAGGGCTGGTAGACAAATCTCTTGATGTTCAATAGTACAAATAAAAATTTGATTAATCGATTGAACGTTTCGATTAGTTACAAATTAAATTTAGAGAGTGTTTCTATGATAAACAGATTTTATATAAACACTGTAACTTTGTTTATGATGTTCATATCTTAAGGGTTGTCAATGCAGGAGTGGCATCCCTATGTCGAAAGTTTCAACCGTTCATAAACTCATGGTAGCCAACCAGGTTGATCGCATGCTTGATTACCACCTCCATTTGTGTAATTAAAATTAATTAAGATTAGCAATGAAAATGTAATAAAAAGATATTTATTAACAGTTTTTGAATAATTTTCTGTAATTCCATAATAATTTGCCGTTATTGGTAATAGCACACAGACTAATGCGCCTCATATATTTCCTTTTCAATTACCAATAGACGACTGTTTTAATGTTATTTACGTATACATTAAATAAAATATAATATTTGCCGTTTCAATGCTCAGCATAAAATAAAATTAATAATACTTTGATCATGTTAATGGCACATAAATTCAGCAAACATATAGTAACTTAATATAACCTTAACGCTGTTAATATTATTAATCGCGGAGATTGGCCACAAAATGCTTTTAACGTAATTCGATTCGGCCAAACTGGAACTCTTGTGGAACGGAACCGGCGTATCGTGAGCTTCCTCTCTCCGCTAACTGTTCGATAATTCCTTAATGCGAGAAGATAATGAAGAGTTAGTAAAGGTCTATAATAAATGGTAGGCTGTAACTACTCTCGCGCAAGCGTCGTCGTTGGTATCGCCTTGAGACTAAAGGCTCATGTTACTCGGATCACGTTCAAGGCACGCTTATATATGTAGTTGGATTTACTCAATAGTTAAAACAAATAGAACGTTTTCTAAAAAAAACTATTTAAATAACCGCAATTCTAATATAAATGCGAAAGTTTCCAAGGATGGATTGATGTTTGTTATTGTTTCACGTAAAAAAATATTGAACGATGTTGAATGTATAAAATAAAATTGCTAGCCATTTCCTTTGTAAGTGTGTTTGTCTATAAATTTGAAATTGTTTATTACTATTGACTCCGTCACTTAAATAGTTTGTCAAGGAAAGTTTTACCTTCTGGTAATCTATAATTAACAAAATCCTCATACACAACATAATATAAATAGTTTCAAATAACATGTTTTTGATTAAAGAAAAATCTAATTTGTTAATTAAGTTGTAGAAAAAACTATTTTCTACAACTTAATTAAACTATAGGATTAGTTTTTATTGAATCCAACTAAAACATTTTATTGTGTTTTATAATATGAGGATTCATATAAGATATAAACAATTACTAAAATACCTGTAAATCCAATCAATGTTATCGTTTTATTTCAAAGTTATGTTGTAATGGAATACCATAAATAAATCTGAACGCCATACAGAGATCTGCAGAACTTGGGCCGAATCGATCCAATGGTCCGCCCCTCCTCAGACGTTTAATTAAACCGTGATATTTTTTAATATGAATCGTTAATCGTTCTTGGCGAATGTTTATAATATAATTACATATTAAGACTTGTAGTATCTAAAGTAAAAGTTGGATTAAAAAATAATAGTATATTGTAAATGGTGTACTAATTGTGTGGTGTGGATTGTTTAACCCAACTAACAAAACTATAACTAAGTTTATGAGTTCGATTCTGGGAGATGAATTCTGATAGAGTCGAATCGAGATCAAATTGAATAAATGTCAAACGGACGTCATCTTAACTTCTATTTAACGTTTATTCGAAGAGATTTTAATTTGATCCCAAGTCGATTCAATTAAATGTCAGCCCGTAAATCAAAATTTTCTATTTCTTTTATTATAAATTTTTCGATAACAATAAATATCGTTGAAAATTTTAAGTAAATTAGAATACAATAATCAATAAAATTACTACTGCTGCCTTATTATGATTACCTAGTAGAAATATATTTGGATTAAAAAATAACTAGATTTCTCTCGAGAACTCGCGTGTTTCAATCATTCCAATGGTTTAAATTAAAACTAACCATACAAATCTTATTTCAAAAAGCCATTTTTTTAATTAATATACGTTTTCTGTTACAGGTACATACATTCTAAAGAAAAACCATTCAAATGCACCGAATGCGGGAAAGGATTCTGTCAGTCGAGAACCTTGGCCGTCCACAAAATTTTACACATGGAAGAATCTCCCCACAAATGTCCAGTGTGTAGCCGAAGTTTCAACCAACGCTCCAATTTGAAAACACATCTACTAACCCATACAGATCACAAACCTTACGAATGCAATTCCTGTGGAAAAGTATTCAGAAGGAACTGCGATTTGAGAAGACATGCACTGACTCATGCTGTGGGCGATATACCTCCAGGTGATGTTTTAGATGTAGGTGAAGAAGACATTGGAAGACCTGGATCACCTATTGAACCAGGTTTCGATGATGAAGACCCAGAACTATCATCTCCTGAACATTCTCCTGTAAGACGAGCACGGTCATCTTCAATAGAAAGTATTGGAAGAGAACAGAGTGAAGAAAGACCAACACCTAGACGAATGTCACCTTCAGCAGTGGAACGAACGCAGTGCCATCACAATGAGCCAAGAGATCGAGCAAGTCCATATACAATGCGTCCTCAATATCTAGAAAAAAGTCGTACACATTCTTCTGATATGTACGAGAAACGACGATACACTTCTGATGAAATTATTGAAAAAGAAATGCGTTACACTGATTTACCTGAACAAATAAGACATCCACAGTTGCAAATTCGACGAGATTTACATCAAGTCGCACCACCAGATCCTTCAAAAATTGGCCAAATTGCAAATTCACCTGTAGACCCAGGGCCTTCCGCGATGTACTTAACTCCATATAGAAAAAGAAGTCATCCACCTGATATTGGTGACAATATGAGGACTTGTGCTGCAGTTTATAGAAGTAGATCACCCGAACCGACTAATTTGACTATGCCACGACAGCCACTTGGAAATAACGAAGTAGTAGTGGGAATGCCACCATCAATTATGGGAATGCCTTCGTACCATAAGTTTGGTTTACCAATGCCACCGCCTCATCCTCAAATGGCGTATGGACCAGTACCCCATACAGTTCTTGGACCACAGCAAACTGTAGCCCAAGATTTAATAGTTAAACATGCTCCACCAAAAGACTCTGTACCCAGCTGCACTTCAACAAGTGTTACAATGTGCAAAGATGGGATGCAATCAAACGTAAAAGATTGTGAAGAAACAAATTCGAGTGCTATCGCTAATGGAATAAAGAATATTGTGGGAATACAACCAACCAATCCCAAGCCAGGAACGAGTCAATCCAGTGGACCGAAAAAAGGTTTTAGTATAGAAGAAATCATGAGACGATGACTTGCACCTAAAGTTATGTTAGTGCGATGCAAATTGATGATTTTCTTAAATGTAAATGTGAGTATCGTCTGCAATTTTAAGTTTAGTTGTAACATTTGTGACAAGTATTATTAGTTCAAGTTTTGATTTTATGTTGTGTAAAATTGCTCGAGGTGTGTTGTTTGTACGTATTTGCAACGTGGATTTGGTTTTCGTAAAGATCTCATAAGGTTTGTTTGTGCAGTGTTTTGTTTACCTCCAAATTTTAAAAATTAGTTTATCAAAATTGTAGGCAATATAATATTATATATTTTTTATGTTATTGTTAGACTTTTAATGTGTATTAAAAAAATAATACAATTTGCAGTGTAATCCATCTATTCTCATATATAGTTACTTGATTGTTATTAGACATTAATGTCATCGAAAGTAGCGACTGGTTTTTTTTAGTTAATAATACTGTTATTTATTATTTAAATACTTGGTAAGTTTAATTTTAAGTTTATTATTAGAAAAATAATTTAATGTATAGTATATTCATCATTCACATCACATAAAAATCATTGTGTTTTCCTGTATATATAATTCCATAATAAATTAAGTTTGTATAATTAATAAGTACTGAAAAAAGAAAATTATTGTAATTTATATACAAAATAAAAAAGAAGATTCCTTTACTGTAATATTTGATACAATCTCTAAATAAAAAGTACAAGAATTTTTTTGTAAGATGTAAAATTTGGTTGTAATAGTTTAACTAAGCACATTTATTTCAAAAAAATAAATAAAAAGCTGTTGCTCAGATGTAATTTAATAAATTTATATATTGTACGTAAGTAATATTTTCTTGTAATAATAAACGAAAATGAAATAAAACTGTTTTATTTATTTTCGGGGTAGAAGCTTCACTTTGCGGAGTTAATTATGAATAGATTAACGTAATATTTAAAATACAAGATGAATTAATAGGTGGAAAAATATAACTAATCCTAATTAAAATTTGTTTATTTCATTTAATATTTATTTATTTGTTTAGTATAAACAAATAATCTGAAATAAAATAAATTATCGGAAAGTAAATTTTTAAACAATTGGATATTACTTAAAATTTATAATAAAAGATTAAAAGATGCCATTCTACAACTGAAATCTGATTAATAACTGACTACCTAACCTACTTCGAAGTTACAAGTTCGAATAGGTAGATTGAATAGTATTTGCAGACAGAAATACGATACTCGATTAAAGTTTTATAGCTTTCTAATAATAATAATCTTTATAATTCTAATCACAATTTTAATCACAATCAACAATATGCATAATATAGTGGGTAATGACTAAAGTCAAAGTCAGAAGATTCTTCATCTTCTTCCTACCCTTATCCCAATTATTATATGGGGTCGGCGTAATATGTTTTTATCTATATTACAAAAAGATTTGGCTTGGTTTTATGGCGGCTGCCTGCCTGACGTCAATCCTCTTTGCGTATGCATTTCTTGGTGGTTTCCACCACCCATAGTATGAAGGAAAGGATTGAGGAAAAAAAAGAAAGGGAACATTGGGAATGCTTAAAGGACATTGGTGAATAAGAGGAATAAGAGACTTATGTGGGAAAGGAAAATATAAAATACTTAAGGAAAGGGGGGTAGTACACTGCAGTCGCGGAAAGGACTGGAGTACTGCAGTAGCTCGGAAGGTCGTCGTCTCATGCCCATATGCCTTTACAAGCCAGTACATTGTGCAAACAAAAGATCCTGTAAACCGATAATAGGACTTATAATATAACTAGGTTTTTGCCCGATATTTCAGATGCGTAGATTTCAGAAATAAGAAAACCAGTGAAATAATAATGATGTCGTATCAAGATTAATCATACACTACATATTAAGTTAGACATTCAGGAATACAACTGTGAAAACCGAATCTAATTTAATAAAATTTCTAAAAATTATAGTGTTGGCTTCTGTTGCTTTTATAGATCCCTCATATAAATGTTACTTAATTATCTCATACAGACATCAAGATACGGGTAATATATAGCAACATCTTTATATTTTAATTACACTATCTGTATATTTATCCAATAATGAATATGTTAAATGTAACAGATATCCAATACTTAATGTCCAAACGAAGAACCCGATTGAAATTAATATACTCGTAGATATCCGATCGGTACTGGCGATATCGAAATGAGTGATGACTATTTTTCTGCCATCAATATCCAAAATAACCCATATATAGATATTTAAGCAATGCCAATATTACCAATTTCTACAGATACTATCTAGACATAACCAGTTTATCAGAGAGAGACTTTGTATAAAAGTCGTTTGCTTGGCCACCTCTGTCCCATTCGTGTTTCTACCATGAAGCAGTTGTGTTTGCATGGCTGTGTTTTGGTTTGAAGGGTAAGATATGGCAGTTAATTTACAGGGTACAGAGGAATAACACCTGAGTCCTCAGGAATGGCAACGCATGGGGGTATCATGGGCGAAACTGAGTATGTCCATGGTACTGCTCATGTGTATAGGCGACAATTACCACTTTCCATCAGGTGGGCCGTCAACTTGTTGCTATTCTAAATAGTAAAAAAAAAAACAATTTTTTTCATATTAGTTACTTAATTATAATTTCTGAATATAACATTATAATGTAGAACAAAGTGTTAAAGTAAGAAAAATTTGAGCGTAAAAAAGCCAATCACATTTCAGCTTACCCAAAACAACAGTCTTTAAAAGGTGTTTCTTTTACGATCTTACAGTTTACGACGCGCCAGCCTCTGAGGCATTCCGACTGCTACTTGGGACTTTATGCAAATCACTTGCCACCATATGAGAAAAAGAAATAATATAAAAAATATCTTTACGATTGAATGTCGTTTCTCGATATTTTAATCCGTGCGATTTGAGGTGAAAGCACCAAATGTGAAGCAGTGGCAATCAATTTGTATTGCTCGAATTTCTTGTCGTCATAGGGTTGTCAATATTACGACAATACACAAGTTAATTTTAAACTTTCGTGTTGTTTACACAAATTTTAAATTCACAATCGGGATTTAACGCGGCGCGATAAGTAAATAGGACCTACATACCTAATTTTTATTAACGATATAAGGGTGACCGAAGAAACTGCGCGGAATTTCCAGAAGGAGGCAACATTCACTTCAGTTCTATCGTAGCCACGATGTGGTGCAGACCACGTTGAAACACTGACAATAAAAACTAGGTGTTATCGATTATGAATTTAAAATACAAAAGATCATTGTTAAGACATATAAAAAAAAATTAAAAGGAGTGTGGAAGGACTTTCGTTACTAAATGATGAAGATCCACCGATAGAAATAGTCACCGATATTTTCCTTCCAATTCGAAACATATACATTTAGGTACTTGGCGATGTTCAGGATTACAAATAGAACAGAAAAATTGTAGTCTCATCTATTATTAGGAGTATGAGAATGATTTAGGTGATATAGTATGTAATAGTACCTGCTTGTAATAAGGTACGAGTATTCAGAAAATATTATCTAAAATAATATAATACCACTCGTTATTATGCACTAATTGGAAAACATCTATAAAATGGCATTTACGAGTATGTACAAATTACTTCATATACACTACTCATACATACAATTTAATAACACAATTTGACAATGTGATTTATAGATCATACCAAAGTGCAGAAAAGACAGTATGAGAATATTTTTTTATTACTGTCTATATTTAATGGCTGCTGTTTGACTGTCAAAGAATTTTTACCATACATTTTTCACTTTAGATTAATAACCAATAAAACATATCAGTGTCCTCAATATAAAAAAAATAAGATAATAATTTAATACAATACGTTTTGTTTGATTTGTGGCAGCCCTGATTTTGTATGAGTCACATCCGATATAGTTATCTAGTCGTAAATAATCGATCCATTTCACATCATTTTATATTTTTAATTACTCGTCTTTGGCGAAACAGTGGCGAAATTCGAAATTATCAGAATAACCTATAAAAGTTATGTATTTTTTTTAATTATCATGGATTATTTTATATATATAATTATTTAGATATAATTTATATGATTGAGAAGGTGCGTTGAAAATATAAAGAGTACATTTTTCGATTATTCAATGTTAACGCCAGTGTTACCAGTCTACGCTGATCAAGTGACTGATATCAGTTCCTTCATCAACCTGTTAACAAGGCTTTCTAAGTATATTATCCACGGTGTTGCAAAGAAAAAGACCATAGCAAAGGTAAACAAAGTTATCATAAACCGCTGTTTAAGAAATCCAGAAGTCAGCCAGGAATCTCGTTAATATTCATGAGCTAGGAGCGGTACATTTTCAATTAACAATAGAAAGCCGCTAAATCCTCAATAACGAGAAAACCATTGAGGGAGTTCGTCAGGAACTTAATAAATTCAAACACGAGCTCAACACTTCAAAACTTTAACTTCGAAACAGTATACTCTGTTATGTCCATGGTACTGCTCATATCTATAGGCGACGGTTACCACTTTCCATCAGGTGGGCCGTCAGCTTGTTTGCCATTCTGTATTGTATAAAAAAAAATACTTCTCCTATTGTCCCTCAGTCCTCTCTCGCTATCTCTTACGCAACAGTGGTCTCCAAACCGTAACTAATGCTCGACTCCAAAGTTAAAACTAACTCAGCTGTAATAATCAGATCCACTGAAGGAGGGAGTCTCATGAAATGGCGAGTAAGTGGAGGGAGAACATCTCTTTCCGTAAACTTGGTTACTCCCCGTGCAAGGTTCAGCCCATCTTCAGGGGCCAACCTATATAATAACCTGGCTATGCCAATGTTAAGTGCACCACTGTGATTCGCTCCTGCGCTCGTTGCGGGGCCATCAATTATACTCTATCAGACTGGCCCCAGCTGCAGCTGTACATAAGCTAAGAATAAAAGGCATTGGCATTAGATTCTTATCTGACAGCTCAGCAATACTAAAAACAACCAGACAAATAACAAATTAATAAATCAATGCCACCATTCACTGGATAAAATATCTTCCAATAACCGAGTTATCCTCCAATGGATAAGAGGGCACTGTAGATCTTATGGTAACGATACCGCAGACAAACTAACTAGAAGAGGTTCAGGAACGAGGGTGGTAGGCCCGCATCTACTTTTTCTTCTTCCGTTCTTGCAATTTCGAATGTGGATTCGTTAAAGATCCGCTGATATACAAAACCAAAGAAACCAAAAAAACAGGCTACTGATTTCATACAATCAAAATTGGCCATGCCTACGTTGAATCAATGATTATCAAAACGTTTATTACATTTAGATAAGAAAAACCTCAAAATAATGATAGAGACAATAACGGGCCATTGTCCATTAAACAAACATTTATACACAATAGAAGCCACAGACAGCCCTCTCAGTCGAGGCTGTTTCGACGCCGAAGAAACGACTACTCACGTAATCCTGGAATGTGAAGCTGTGGCCCATCAACGTTTAGAAATCCTCGGAACGGTGAGGTCGCTCCGTGAGGCCTGTTAAGATCACAAGAAGCTTCTGTGCTTCTGGGCGAAACTGAGTTATCTGTACTAGCCACGGCTCACACACACAACGGCCCAAATGAGAGGCTAAGCGCGAAAAAGAGAGTCCAATTTACATTATATTACGTACTATTTATACCGACGCCTCCAATGAATAATATGTATCCGAAACATCATTGTTGCTCATTGGCAATTGGTTCTCCTTACTTGATAGCATAAACAGATTCTAAAAAGTATTTCCGATCTCATTCCATATGACCCAAATACTAACTGGGCACTTATATGCAAAGCAGTT